TTCCAAGTTGTTCACAATAGCTACAAACAAGTAGAATACAAATAAATAACAAGAGAGCAACATATTGAACAAATTTGATGACTATCATATGACTTATTAACGAAATATCTCTCCTTTAATTTCACTGCCCAAGATAGGACATCAGCTCCAATTGAAAATCCAAACGGTCATAATTTAGATACCAATGCAATAAAACATATGTTAAAGTTTGAGCTTGATCCAACGATATATATGAGAGATATGTCTCTCTCAAAACCATTGCCTTATTGAAATAAAATCAATTTCGTTGTGGAATTTCTGGGAATTAGATTTCCAATCAATAGATTCACCGTTCAGAATGAAGAACAATGAGTCACGAACTTGCTGAAATTTGTTTAACTCAACTTGACTGTGAACGAACTATTATTTATTTTTATTTTTTCATGGCCGTGATTACTCTCCTCCTCATTGCAATAAGACTGCAACACTGGGAACGCTAATCTTCCTCATTTGGGTTGGACTGTTAACCGTTTTATCGACAAATGCCTAACATTATTTATTTGGCTTGAAGGGACAGTGACCAAAATGTCACGCTTTGGCAAAAAAATTACCAGAATGCCACGCGAACAGTAAAATTTTCCAAACTGCCACGTGACATAATTCGCTACACAGTATAGCGAATTATGCATGCAAGTAATTCGCTACACAGTGTAGCGAAATATGCCACGTCAGAATGCACAGAACCAAAAAGTACCATGTGTCAGAATTGTTGTAATTCGCTACATAGGGTAGCGAATTTCAACAATTTTGACACTTGGCACTTTTTGGTTCTAACGTGGCATATTTCGCTACACTGTGTAGCGAATTACTTGCATGCATAATTCGCTACACTGTGTAGCGAATTATGCCGCGTGGCAGTTTGGAAAATTTTACTGTTCGCGTGGCATTCTGGTAATTTTTTTGTCAAAACGTGGCAAAATGGTCACTATCCCTAGCTTGAAAGTCCTGTCATCCACAAAAGCCTAACTCTCAGGTCTGTAGTGCTTTCCGTCATTCTGTGTTTGGTATTTGAAGTACGATGGGATGGGAAGTTCCATTGGGTTCGATTGAAGTGGGATATGCCTCTAGCATATATATGATTTAAAGCCAAAAAGAGAAAGAATCTTGATCAATCTTGGATAAAAAGGGCTATAATTGTTATTAAATTGATAAATCTCAATCAAATATCTTGTTACTGATTTTTTTCTAATTTTGTAAGAAAACAGTACAAAAAGAAGCCCAAATTAGAAGTACAAGTCTGAAGCCCCGGGCGCTAGTAGCGCCAGAAGAAATTTTTAAGACAGAACCTCCATGCTACTAGCGTGGAACTGGCGCTATCAGCGCCAGCCAATTTTGCGAACCGCGCTAGTAGCGCCAAGCTACTAATTCAAGAACAATACTCCCACGCTATTAGCGCGACACTGGCGCTAGTAGCGTGGAAGGTGCGTGGTAATATTTTTAAGCCTTGATTCAGACTGTATCAGAAGAGATTGGATCAAGATATACGATAAAGATTCGATCAAGATTTCTATGCAAGGGCACAAACTCTATAAATAGAGACTCAAACCCCCAGAGACAGAAATCTTTGGCTGGAGAGAATTTTTGGAGGCTCACGCTGGAGAGCAGGATTCTGACGGAGTTGAAGACCGAAGACCATTGATCTTCCATCATCTTCTTTTTTTTTCTTTCATGAACAATTTTTATTTTAATTTGTTTAAGTCAGACATGAATATGTCTGGCTAATTTGTTTTTGTAGTTGGGATCACGGACCCGATGTGAATCCTTTATATTTTCTATATTGTTTTTATAAATTAATTAGTTTAATTAGTTTTATTCTACCTGTGTTAATTTTTTCATATCCTTGTTAGAACTGATCACTCTAATTATAGGGCTTTGAGGGTTAGGACTCACAATAGACATATTGGGGTTTTAATCTGGACAAGGGTAGAATAAAAATTTGTGCATGACCTAGACATAGGCTTACATAAATTGCAGACTTTTAATTCATTTGTTTAATGCTTGATTCAAGAGGGATTACTAGGACACTAGGATTCTAATTGGGTTAAAGGGTTGAAATCACTAAGACATTAGGGTTCAACTATTTTATAGGAAAATAATGAATTGTCTGAGCAAACCAATTAGTTAATTATAAAATACAATACAGAAATATAAGGGAGGATCGGAGGTGAAGTGCATCCTGGCTACAGTCTTTTTATAATTTTTCATCAATCTCATATTTTCTTGACATTCTTGATCTTCTTGTATGCTTTTTAATATTATTGTTTTTAAAATTCTGTTTTTAAAGTTACAACAACTCATCAGTTTCACAATCAAACAAATTTTCTTTTCCAATTAAAAAGGAAATAGTTAAATTAGTACTTGGTGCATTAATCCTCGAGGGAACGATCTTTACTTATCACTTTTATTACTTGAAACGAACTGTATACTTGCTGACTTCGCAACAAAGTGCAAGTTAATTCCGTAGTTTTGTAAAAAGAAAAGAAAAATTGATTAAGAATGGGCTCATAGTTTGCTATTTCAGAACCTCTGGAGGTTGGATTCTTTTGGCATTTCACTACAAAAAATTGTGTGTTTCCTGGCGCTCATTTATTGGCGTTCAATTTTGACCTCCGCTGTATGAAATTTTTTTTGGCGTTTTTTATTAATGCCACTTTTTAAAATTTATTCTGGCGTCTTCAAAACGCTACAAACATTTTTTTTTTCATTTTTTTTATTCTTTGACTCTTTTATTCCCTAACCAAGGGTAAATTAAAAAAAGATCACGTCTCTTTCGTTTCTTTCTCTATTCTCTATTCTATTCTTCCATAATCTCTATTCTCATTAACCAATGGGTACTGTAACGTGAATCTTTGAGCAGCAAGAGTATACACTCTCTATTCTCCATTTAGAACTTCTCTTCGTTGGTTCGCTGTTGAAATTAAAGTTGATTCGTGTAAGTTCTGTTTCGCTGTTGAATTTAAAGTTGATTCCTGTGAGTTCTTCATTCATAAGATATAATCGAAAAACTCATGAAATTCAGTAATTCTTTTCTCTCTTACCTTATTAATTTTAAAATTGATTTATTAGATTGTATTAGTTTTATTGTTCTTTAGATTTACAAATTAACATCTCTGCTAGGGTTTCTTACACAGGTAATCACCAAGATTTGTAGTGAAACTAAGATTTGTTCAAATTATCACCAAGCAGAATTTATTGTTGATTGAAGGACATATTATCACAAGCTTATGTATTCTTACATGCTATTCAGCGATAGCATTATACAATTACGAGGATTTGGAAATCACCACCATTGAGCGATAGGGACAATTTCATTACACTTGTGAGCTTCAAGATTTGCCAAGCCAATAAGGTGCACTATCCGGATTCTTTGGATTTTGTGGTGTAGTAGGGAAGATTTCTTTTCTCCAGTCATGTTAGATTGTGATTTTCAAATTTTCACCTTCGTGTTCTTTTGCTTCTTAGCTTCAGGTAATTCGATTCTCTTCTTCATTATTCCATGCTGCAATTTTAATTGTGATTTCTTTTTCTTTTTATCAATATTTGGAGCTAATTTTGTTTCAAAAATGTTATGGTTCATTTATTTATTTATTTCATTTATTTTTTCATTTTTTTAGAGCTGTTGCTGTAGCATATTTTGCAAGGCAGTTCATTTTTTTAGAGTTGTTGTTGTAGCATGTTTCAAAAACAAATAGTATAGGCTTGCACAACCATAGCAACATCAACAACAACCCTTATGTTCACATTTCCCCTGTTCCTCCTTCCTCTGCAGCAACCAACCGTGAGTGATTTCCAAGAGTTTGTGTTTTTGGAACTAAGCCCGTTTGTATACTGTTTCTAAAAATAATTTAGTTTTCAGAATAAAAAAATCCGTTTGATAAAGTTCACTTTTAAAGTTCACCATGTAAACATGTTTATAACTTGAGCCCAATTAAACCTTCCCATAAAAAATTCAACTCTAAGAAAAGGAAAAAGTAATCTGGTCAAGGTCAGCTCATTTTCATTGGCATTTGATCTTTCATAAGAGAGAACTATGGCCAAATTGAATGTTATCAAGGCGTCAATTAAATTCTGTCAACAACTTCAAGATTGAAGTTGATATTTGTGTTCATCCATTTTATATATATCTAGTGCTTCTTTCTTTAATTTGGACCTATCATTTGTGTATGTATAATTTTTTTCGCTTGACTTAAAATCAAGTTTTACTATTATATTAGTCTTACAAAATGTTAGGCAGATTGCTCTTGTTTTCATCTATATTGGTGAGGAGATTGTTCTTTTGTTTTTGTCTTCTGTTATGAATTTATAATGTATCTGTAGTTCCCAGTTGGCCGTATCTCGTATCCTGGATTTTGCTTTGTTTTATATCTCTAATTTATATAAATATCATGTTCAACTTAATTATTAATAAAATTAATTATATTAATAGACCTTTCTTAATTTTATACTTACCTTGAATATATTTTTAATATTTTCTTAAACGGTACATGCAGTTGTTTTGAGAAGTTGAAGGATTTGAAGTTGAAAGCAAGAAAACAAGAGGTATTTTCTTTCAAAGGTTTATATATATTGTCTATTTAACTTGGAGCATGGTATTGGTGAGCAGTTTTAAAAAAAAAATATTGACGTATGTTGTTGTCTAGTTTTTTCTGTTTACTGTTTACACATGCACATACATTATTCTCTTTGCTGTCAAAGTTGTACTTATTGGCTAGTAATTCCTCTTATGCTTGATAGTAGTTTAAGTATCTTAGTGCTTGTTGCTAGTTTACTTTTACTAAAAATATCTGCACGAAATATTTTATTTTAGTCATTTGTTTCCCTTTGAATATGTGATGATTATATGTTGAGTGTTTTCTTTATTGGTTCAATTTTGCCTATATTTTTTGAATTTTGAGTTTTGTTTGAAATTTATATTATTTTCAAATCATTACGTGACATATTTGAGGATTTAGGTCATAAAAATGGACAAATCATGGATTGATATGCCGCGAAATTCAGTTGAATATCTACACGGGTTAGATAAGTTCCTAGATTTTGCATTTGAGAAACGGTCTATCAATGGCGCAATCAAGTGTCCATGCCCTAAATGCGGTTTTAATAAATGGGAAACAAAAGGTACTGTGCGTGATCACTTGATTTGCAAGCAATTTCCAAAAAATTACAAAGTTTGGATATGGCATGGTGAAACATATGAAACAGTGATGTTAAGTGACACTCAAGTAATAGAAGAGCCATTACAAAATGAAAACCCAGTACTAGACATGATAAATGAAGCATTTGGGGTCAACAAACAACATGCATCACAACCCACCACTTCACCTGAATCGATGGTGTCCGCACATAACATGCCTGATGAAGAACGCAAAGATGTTACTGACTTGATTAGAGATGGTAGCCAAGAATTGTATGAAGGGTGTCAGAAGTATTCAAAATTATCTTTTTTGTTAAGATTGTACCACATAAAGTGCCTATGTGGTGTAACTGACAAGGCAATGACATTAATATTGGAATTGCTAAAAGATGCATTTGAATATGCAAAAATTCCTGATTCATTCTATGAGGCAAAAAAGATCATCTACAAACTTGGTCTTAATTATAACAAGATAGATGCTTGTCCAAAAAATTGCATGTTGTTTTGGGGTGAAGATGAAAAATCGGAGATATGCAAACATTGTAAAACTTCTAGATGGAAGTCAAAGGGTAAGGAAAAAGGAGATAAACCGACTATTGGTAGAAAAAAGCTGCCGGCAAAGGTTTTGCGTTACTTTCCATTGAAACCAAGGTTGCAAAGGTTATTTATGTGTTCTAAAACAGCAAAGTCCATGAGATGGCATGCTTTGGCGAATAACCCAGATGGATTATTGAGGCATCCAAGAGATGCAGAAGCCTGGAAGAGTTTTGACCAACTTCACCCTGAATTTGCTTCGGAATCGCGAAATGTCCGCCTTGGTCTAGCCACTGATGGTTTTAATCCTTATGGAATCAAGAGTAACAACTATAGCATATGGCCAGTGATCTTAATTCCATATAATCGTCCTCCTTGGGAGTGCATGAAGCAAACTTCCTTAATTCTTTCTATGATCATTCCGGGTAAACGAATGCCGGGGAATAATATAGATGTGTACTTACAACCTCTAATCAAGGAGTTGAATGAGCTATGGAATGAAGGTGTGGAAACCTATGATTCTTCTATGAATGAAGTGTTTAGAATGAAAGCAGCTCTTATATGGACAATTAGTGACTTTCCTGGGCTTGGTATTTTATCAGGGTGGAACACTTACACTAAATTTGCTTGCCCAACTTGTAATATTGATGCAACCTCATGTCGATTAAAATATAGCAAAAAATGGTGTTTTATGGGTCATCGACGATTTTTAGAGAGGGGTCATAAATTTAGATTGATGAAGAAGCACTTTGATGGTACAATTGAAGAAAGGGATCCGCCTATAATGTTGTCTGGATCAGAGATTCTGAAGCAACTTGATGATATCAATGTAACCTTTGGAAGCAACCTTGAGTCAAATAGTAGAAGGAAACGAGGTCGTTCAGAAGATAGACCAAAACAATGGAGAAAGAAGAGCATATTCTTTGATCTTCCTTATTGGAAGGGTAATCTTTTACGCCATAATCTAGATGTAATGCATATTGAGAAGAATGTGTGTGATAATGTGTTATATACCTTAATCAAAGATGACAAATCAAAGGATCATCATGAAGCTCGCCAAGATCTAAAACATATGGGAATAAAACAAGATCTTTGGCCACTTGAAGATGGAAAATTTCTTCCTTTATTATTTACAATGACAAGAGAGCAAAGAAAGATATTTCTCACAACGTTGAAGAATGTAAAGATGCCAGATGGTTACTCAAGTAATATATCTCGTTGCATTGATGACAAAAATGGTAAGATATTTGGTTTGAAGAGTCATGATTGTCATATTATCATACAACATTTGCTTCCAATAGCTATACGCTATGTTTTGCCTGATGCGGTGACTGCGGTGTTGGTAGAGTTATCTGCATTTTTCAAAGAATTATGTTTTAAAAGATTGAATGTCTCGGACCTTGATAAGTTGCAACATCGAATTGTGCTCACTCTTTGCCATTTGGAAATCCTCTTACCCCCATCGTTCTTCACGGTGATGGTCCATTTAACTTGTCATCTTGTTCAAGAAGTAAAATTAGGAGGCCCAGTATATTACCGCTGGATGTATCCAATTGAGAGGTACAAACTTTTTGCTGTATTTAACTCATATATTATTTTTGTGTGGTAAAAACATATTAAGTGAATGCCTTGATTATATTATTGTTTTTTTATCATAGGGTATTAGGGCATTTTAAGTCCTTTGTACGGAATAGGGCACAACCAGAAGGTTCTATAAGTGAAGCTTATTTAGCCGAAGAGACGCTGAATATGTATTCACAATATGAAGAAGTTGAGTCAAGGATAAATAGAGGTCGACGTGTTGATGATCGTCCAAATGATAATGAAATATCTCGAATGTCCTCTATCTATCCTCAATTGGGTAGACCGGTGGGAAGTTCATCAGCTTTCACTCTTACTCCATTAGAGAAAATACAAGCACATCGATATTTGTTGCTGAATTGTTCAGAAATCCTTCCGTATGTTGAGTAAGTGTTTTAACATGTTTCATGTGGTAAGAGTACGAATATTGCCATGCAATATTAACATGAATATTTTTTTGAAGTGAATTTAGAACCTTCATTAAGAGGAGGGCAAAAAGGCGAAGACCTTCGACTACAGAGATTGAAAGGATAGTTACTAAAGAATTTGCAAATTGGTTTCCTCAACGGGTAAAATAAATTCTTTTTTAAAAAAAAAAAAAAAATTAAACATATTTTTATGACTAAAATAATTTTACTTTAATTTAGGTTATGAATCCCGACATTATAAATTCAGTGTCAGATCAATTAAAGTTTTTGGCAAGGGGTCCATTGCTGCAAGCACGAAGATATACTGCTTATAACATCAACGGGTTCAAGTTTAGGACTTTAGATAGGGATAAGGGTTTGAAAACTCAAAATAGTGGAGTTTTTCTAACTTCAAACACATCATGTGTTGCAAGTAATGCTGATGCAAATTTGAGGAGGGCAGATTTGCCATACTATGGAAAGTTGGAAGATATAATTGAGCTCAACTATTACGGATTTTTCAAAGTTACCCTATTTAAGTGTAAATGGGCAGATACCACACGAGATAGAGGAATTAGAAAGGATGCTTGGCAATTTACTTCAGTGAACTTTTCCCAATGCATTCACACTGGTGAACGTGAAGAGCATGACCCCTATATTGAAGCTTCACAAGCACAATTAGTGTATTACGTGGATGATGAGGTAAATAAAGGTTGGAGTGTTGTTGTGCACATGATGCCAAGGGATTTATATGATATGGGAGAAGTTACAGAAGATGTCATATGTGAGACTGAGCCATACCAAGAGCAAGACTTAAGCAATTTATTTTCAAATGAAGCTGGCAGCATAACATTGGCTAGGGAGGATGTAGATAATGAATTCATAACTATATGTAATACTGAAAGTCAACTTCATGGAGAAGAAAATATGTCTCAGTAATGCAATATGCTTCAATTCTCATTGACTAAGTGTGTGAAAGATCTTAGAGTTTTGAATGAATGAGACTTTGAAAAACTGTGGTTTTAGGTTTCTTTTTCTCTTTTGTTATTAGGTTAATCGGCTTTCATGTTATACAGGACTAACATTAGAACTTTATTATTGTTAATCTCGAATATGCTGTTTATTCTTGTAGTCTTGTTGGCCTTTCATTTGGATCATTTGTATTTCAGTTATGTTGCCTTTTTGTGTGGTAAAAAAATATTACCTCTCTTAGTCGTTGTTTAATCTCCTGTCTTATAGCTTTCATACAATAGATTTGGAAGCCTTGCTGCATTTTTTTGATTTTTCGTGTTCCTTCCAACTAGAATTTTCTATTTTACCCCTTCCTAGCTGTACCTTCTTTTTGTGCTTCCAAGTAACATTTTTCATATGCAGATACTATGGGAAGGTGGCCAAGTTTTTTGTTTAGTTCCCAACAGCCATATTCATGGCCTTGTCTTAATTATACATATTGGAAAATAAAATTAATTATGTATATTATGTTATTGATTCGTAAAGTTATTGATTTCACCATCATCATCTTAGTCATGCCGTCAAGTGCAGTACATGAGTCCAGAGGTAAATGGACGGTACAAGCTATAGGTAATATTTTTTTAGATAATTTATTATTATTATTATATTGTTGTATAAGCTAACTCAGATCTCTTTTAATAGATGAAGAAGGAAATGAAAAGAAAATTCAATTGAAAGTATCGGAGGTGTTTGAGATGAATCAAGGTCAACGCATAATAGTGCCATTTGATTCACAAATGCAAGCGTATGGAAAAGCGGCGACACTTCTTTCGGGAGTATGTGGGCGTATTGTCAATGATTGCAACAATGTTCCTATTAACTATGAAAAATGGTCATCGGTACTTGAACCATACAAGATAAATTGCTATGACAATTTGAAGGTTGTATATACATACTCCAAAGCTTATTATTTTTTTTTTTCTTTTGGAATGAAAATGCACATGGTTATTTGTTGAACTCAGTGCATCTTATTAATAAGGGAGTTCTAATTTTTTCAAGTTTTTTATTTTAATTTACAATGATAAGATAGAATTTTGATGGTCAAGATTTAGTGTAGCTTTTAAAAAACTGAATATTGTCCTCTGTTTTATTTCTTTATACCAATAATCCAATATAATATGGTCCTTTGTTTTACTATATATTTTCCTTGTTACTTCTATATTTTTTTATTGTTTAGTATTGACTGATATATATTTTTTTTGGGTAAAGAATCTATTTCAGTTTCAAGCTCCAGAAGCAATTGCAAAGCGTTATTGTCTACTTACCATGGGAAGAAGGTTCAAGAATCGCAAGTTAAAATTATGGTATAAAAATTATGACCCACTAGATTCTAGAGAAAAACTAATTTCTAATGTCCCCACTGGTGTTCCGAAAGATCAATGGTCGTCATTTGTGGACTATCATTTGAAACCAAGTTATAAGGTAATTTTATTTGATATTGGTTGCTTGTAATTGTTTTTTAAAGTTGGCAATCTTTATTAATATCCTGTTATTATCATAGGAGTTATGCCGGAAGAATGCTTTGGTTAGGAAAAAACAAACAATTCCACACACCGGGGGATCCAAACTGTTGTCTCGGAGAAGACATGAGATGGTAAGTTACTTGTGTTGTGTCTTGTTAGGTCTTATGTAATTCACATTGCATCTTATAAGAGTAAATATTTTATAGGAGGAAGAGATCGGACATGCTGTAGGTCGAGGTGAACTTTATATTGCAACGCATAAGAGAAAAGATGGGTCATATGTTAATGAAGAGGCAAGGACTACAGTGGTAAGTCATACTAATATTTTCTGCTTTTAGACTATAATAATGCATCAATCGATGTCTTTGCCTTCTTTATTATTATAATTTAGCTAATCCTAGTTGTGTATTATTTACAAAGTTATCATTATTATTTGTCCCTAGCTCCATACATGTATTTATTTCTCCTATCTTGTAATTCCTTATTAAACTGTTGATGGAGTTCAAGTATAAGTAATTGCTTCATTTAGAAAAATGAAGAAGTCACTCGAGATCATTCATTTCTTGTTGCTGCACTGAAGGAATCTTCACTGCTTGTACGATTCAAATCCTAAATAAGTGTCAGTAGAAATTTAGGGGAATATCGCATATTGCCCCAATTTCCATTCTTCAATGTTCTTGTTGGTCAAGTACTTGAATGTTTGATGACATGGCCACAGTAATTGGTGCTTCCAGCAAGACTATGACCACATTGTTTCTTAATTATTTTTCTATCATATTAGATTCATGAATTTTTCTTACATGTACAGGAGAAAATTCATGAAGAATTAAGTCAGAGCACTAATTTTACTGAAATTTCAAGAAATGATGCGGTTGCGAAAGTGTTGGGACCAGAGCACTCTGGTCGTGTTCGTGGTTTAGGCCTAGGTGGTCTTCCTAGTATTGCATTTGGACCCACCATAGGACGATTTAATCATTTAGGCTCTATTTTCTTAAGTATGAATCAAGCTGAAAATTCTCAATTGAGAAGTGAAGTTACTACTTTGAAGACCAAGCTAGTAGCTTCTGAGCAGAATGTCAAGACATTGCAAACAATAATGCTTGCGTACATACAAATGAAGGAAGGACAAATTCCTCCGGAGTTGGATGCTTTGTTGGGTATTGCTTCCATTCCAATGGTAATGATTTCATATGCTTATTTTTAATATTGAACTTAGTTACTACTTCTTAAGAGAAAGTTGTCTTATTCTTTTAAGTATGCTAAAATGGTGCAATGTCTTTCGCAGGATGAAGGGAGTGAAGAAGGTATCCCAACACCACACGGAAGCTCTTCATTAGATAGTAATCTCTCTTAACTTGGGTTTTGTAATTAGGGTTAATTTCAAAATGAGTGATGGATATACATCAGTTGAGACTATTATGAATTGTGGGATTTTAAGACAGATTTATTTTACTTGATGGAATTGTTATTTCAGATGATAAAGCTCTGGCTGAGTTACTGTAGTTTCACACCCTTAGACAGGGGTGTTTGTTATCTCATCTCAAAACAATCTACCTTTTGCATGGTGCCAATATAAAATTCAGCTCCTGGTTCACAATTGGAGGAAAAAAGAAAATAACAATTGTTTGTTATCTCATCACAATTGTTATTTGTGTTTGTTATTAGTAATGTTTATATGAAAATATACTTTCCCATGTTTTATTTTATACAAAAAATTTGATGAGATTTTTTTATTCATCTTTGTTTTAGTTTTTTATTTCATAGAAGAAAAAAAAGAAAAAAATGTGTTATCAGTAAAAGTATATTATTTTTCTATTTGAAATGTGTTAATGCTGATACTTATTGGGATCAGTTTCATATCTACTTTTTAACTTGTGGGTTTGGTCAAATGTAAGGTCCAAAGACAATGACAACTGAAACATGAATTGTATCGATTAGTAATTTCAACATATAGTTTTTGGAGGCTAAAAAACGTCACTATATACATCAGTTTGTAGCGTTTTTCAATGGCCAGAAAATGAAGCCATTTGTGGCTGTCATAAATGGCCAAAAATGGGAAGCACATTGTGACATATGTTATACTGGCGTTTTAGGGGAACGTCAGAAAAATCTTTGGTGGAGGTTTTTGACTGCTACAATTAGCATATTTGACCTCCACTAAATGCATCAATTTTTGTAGTGTTTCTTTTATTTATTTTTTTGTTTTGTAAATTGAAAACAAGATTTGATTTCTGTTGTCAATGTTCTGAGCATTTTCCTTGTGTCTTGTGATATCTTTCGCATTGGAATCAAAAGTTAACGACATAATGTACTTAAACAAACAAAAAAGATAAGAGAAATAAAAAATAAGACAGAGCAAAGCCTTTGGCAGCTGACAAAGAGGAAGAGAGTTTCACTGTATGAATTGTGTTTTCCATTATTAGTTTGAATTGAATTGAATTGAATTAAACCCTTCACTATTTTCTAATAGTTACCGTTACTCTCCAAGTATTTTCTTCTGTTTCTTTCTTCTTCTTTTTTTATTTTAATTCTCGTTAATTCTTTTTTTAAAGACAACCATGAATATTAAAATTTTGTTTTCCATTAATTCTCGTTAATGCTTTCATTACTCTTTTTTTTTTATGTTTTCAGTTTTGGACTTCACTGTAGCTTGCTAGAACACTTTGCTCATATTCATGCTACTTGTTATTTGTCAGTGGATTACTTTAGTTTTCTGAATGGTAAAGTGATTGCATTTTATTTATAATATAATATATTTTTTTCGCCTCGTCATTGAAATTTCTACCTCTGCCACGTTGATTAGGTTGAAACCAACTCAGTAAAAACACAATACCGATTTTTTTCTTTTGACTAATGACCATTCGCGGATAAAAGAATATTTTTAGAAGTTAGCTTATATTCAAAATTTGCATATTAAAATATACTTACTTTTAATAAATTATATAATGCATTGTTTCTTTGTTTGGTTAAAGAGCCATGAAAACAAGGTTTCTTTTAATTCTTTTTGTTTGGTGCATTTTCTTTGTGATTTTGTGATATTTGATCATTGATTGGTTATGCATACAAGTGTCTGATGTTCTCTTATCTACTAGTTACCATCACTGTCCAACTCTTTTCTTCAGCCCTGAAAACAAGGTTTCTTTTAATTGTTTTTGTTTGGAGCATTTTCTGTGTGATTTGTGATATCTAATCTTTGCTTGGTTTTGCATATAGGTATCTGTTGTTCTCCTCTCTAATAGTTACCATCACTTTCCAAGTATTTTCCTGTGTTCTCTTTCTCCTTTTATTTTTTGTCATGTATTGTTTGTATGTTAGGCGAAAGAGGCCCTAAAAACGAGGCTTTTTTGTTTTTGGTAAATTAAAAATAAGGTTTATGTTGTCAAAGTTTGGGCTTTTTGCTCTGTGATTTGTGATATCTGACCATTGCTTGGTTTCTCATATAGGTGTTTATTCTGGTTCAAGATGACTCTGGAGAACTATTTGATAGATGAAGATGGAGCTGGAGACCATTTTCCAGTGGGTATGCGTGTTTTGCTTGTTGACGATGATCAACTTTGTCTCGAAGTGTTAGGGAACATGCTTCGCAAATGCCAGTATCAAGGTTTGTCACCTCTCTCTTCCTATTCTCTTAATTAGAGTCTGCATTGATTTTTTGCTCATCAACTGCATTGATTTTTGCTTGTGGGGTCATGCTTTATTTTGCGTAGTGATAAACTGAACATATAGTTCGTTGCCACTCTAAAGTTTTAAATCTATTGGCAGATATTGTGTCTTGTCGCTTATATATACATCACTTGACAATTTTCTAAATTTTCAACTCAGAATTTCTTTCTTTGCAAGACGAGCGTTTTCTTAAATCTTTTAAAGTTGAAACTTCTTTTGAAATTAGAATATTTTAAAAAGTTATTTTCTTGTGTTGCCAAATATTGTTGGGAATTCAAGTATGAGTAATAACAAGTTCTTTACAACCCATTACTGTGAGAACTATAAATTTCTTATTGGGAGAATCAATATACTTTGATATTGCATGAGGTCTTTAACTTTTACGATGCTGAATAATAACATCTGATTTATATTTGTTGCAGTTACTACAACTATTCAGTCAATTGAGGCATTAGATATGTTGAGGACAAATAGAAATATGTTTGACCTCGTTATTACCGACGTAAATATGCCACACATGGATGGACTTAAGCTACTAGAGATAGTGGGACATGAAATGGACATACCTGTCATAAGTAAGCTCAAATACTCTTGTCTTAGCATGTATTCAACAAGTTATTTACTTCTCCTTATTATGAGATTACTGATATTTATTATTTCATTGTTTATTTTTTTTGGTGATCTAGTGTTGTCAGAATTGAGTGATATAGAGGTCGTGAAGAAAAGTGTTATACTTGGCGCATGTGACTATATAATTAAACCTCCTCGAATCCAAGTACTGCAGAATATATGGCAACATGTAGCGCGAAGAAAGATTGATTGCAAAGGTCAAAATACGCACTTCAATGAGGAGAAAGCATGCAATATAGCGGGGGAAGGTAGTCAAAGTAACATTAGAAAGTAATGCTGACCATAATCAAATGCATGGTAAGAAAAGGAAGGAACCGTGTGTGGAAGAAGAAAATGGTGAAATGAATGCAAAAGAGAATGAGGAACCTTCAAATCAAAAGAAGCCTCGTTTAAAATGGAATGATGACTTGCAAACAAAATTTCTTGCTGCAGTCAATTCACTGGGCATTGATAGTGAGTTTACATGATAATGAAATTTAATTTTCCTTTTCTGTTTGACATGTGAAAATTGAACTTATAATGTGAACTTGATACCTCAACATGGATATTGACATTTCTAATATGATCTTTCTTCAACTGTTATTGTAGAGGCAGTTCCTAAGAAAATACTTCACTTGATGAATGTTGAAGGTCTTACAAGAGAAAATGTAGCAAGCCATCTACAGGTATGAATTTTAAATTCCTTATTTATCATAAATTTTTGGACTGTTTATGCTTAAAATACAAATGATCTTGTTTACTAAAAAAAATACAAATGATATCTACTTTTTGGCATATAGACCCCTTCGGTTTCAATTTTGGCACATGATCAAAGTTGAAGGGGTAATATACTTTTTAACTTTAAGCAAATGATGGTTTAAAACTAATGGTTTATTAAAATTTTGAACAAAGTTAATTAGGAAATATCGATATCCATAAAAATGCATAACTTTAATCCATAACTTGTATTGCGATAACAGTGCATAAGCTCACTCTTATTTTGTATTGCAGAAATACAAACTTGGCTGCCTCAAGAAGACAACTCAACAAGCTAGCATGGTTGTTGCGTCGCGTTGTAGTGATTCTTACGTGCAAATGAATTCAATAGATAGATATGGAAATTTTGACACCTCATTTGGATCAAGAAGAATCGATCCCTCTGCACCGGTCCAATCTATTGAGACACAAAATATAAACAACTCCATAGAAACACTTGGAAACATCCAGCCGTGCATGTTTTCTGCAAATCAAAGCTCAAGTTTATCACAGGGAATTCCAAACTCAATCGAGTTTAACCAATTTCAGCAGAGCAACTATATAACTAGTTTTGAGCAGTTTAGTTCAATTGATGGGTCAAATGGATATGTGGTTTCCTCTAACTTTCCTGGCAATTCTTCACTTTTGGATGAGGTTTTATATGAAGATCAACTGCCTCTGAATAGCTTGAAGTTTTCCTCCTCTAATTCTCATATAGGGAACAATCCAGTTGATTTTTCTTCCACAAGTGCTATTGGTATTCCTTTGGAGGATGCTAGAGGGGAGCTGCAATGCAAAGAAGGCTTACTTGACAATATCTTAAAGGATTCAAGCAAAAAGAGAATTGATGCATCCTTGGTTGGCCAACTGAGTGAGGCTGCTCCATCAATCACCCAATCCACAAAAGTTGATAAATCCTATTTAGATGCAGGAATGAAGTCAAATGATGCCTACATTTTGCAGCCCCAAGAAGAACTCACCGAGGAGGATATTTTTGGTACTTTACATGACATAGTGAGTGATATGGTGGTTAAACAGGCATGATCAAATATTCTTGTATTTGTTTAATTTTTAAGAGAAATTAACACTTCCCATTTTATCTTTCTTTAAATGGTTTTCTAATTCCATCGGTATTGTCTAACCTGATTCAAATCTGCTCCATCTTTCTTTGTTTAATTCCATCGTTTTGGTCTAAAATGAAAACACTTAAGTTTTGTCTTATTCACAACATTTTATGTAAGACTGTTTATGATGCAGGATTTCAATATATTAATGGATGGAGAAAAGGGATTTGATGATTACTTGTTGGATCATGAACATATTTCC